AGCTTTTTCTCATGGGAAATGTCTTCAGCCACTTGACGTTATCTTTTCCTGCACAGTTACAGTATGTTTGTTGAACTTTTTGTTTGAAACAGCTGCCTGCATCTGGAAACGGCACTGCTGAGGGTGGAGAGAGTGAATTAAAACAGTAAAGTTGTTGGCTGTAAAACGAATAACAAAGGCACTCCATGATCCTCAGGGAAACTACAGAAACATGTGATGACTCTCTTTTAACTAGTCTGTGTTCAAATACAAGTAATTATGTAATCCATAAATAGTAAATATATATAGCAAATATTGATAACATGCTGCTTTAAATAGTTCTTTATACTGTGTTGCATCCTTATGTATCATATATTTCTCTCTATAAAAACCTGTATCTTTGCTTAGTAGCCCAGCTCAATAAATTGCCTGAAATACTCCTGCTCCCAAAGTACCCACTAAGTACTATTAGTATTTACTGCCTGTGTTTCCTCTGGCCCCTCGTTCGGCCTCTCCTTTCCCCAAAGATAGATTACATCCAAGACAGCCTATGACCGATGGATAGGGGGCACAATGCCTGAGCCTTTGGAGAAATATGTGCTTATGAAATCATAAATATTATCTCAAACACTAATTAGCATTAAGAGCACCGGTGATTTTATTTATCAACTTTAGCCACAATTAATAACCACAGCCTTGAGAAGAGCAGGAGGCAGATAGGCAGGACATGTTTGCCGCGTCAAGGCCGTAAACCCATTACACACATAGACTGATTGAGGCAGCCCCACTGGGGGAATAAGTAATTGTGCCTGAGAAATTTTAATTGCCCTGAAATGCATTCTAAATTACACCACCTTGTTTTCAGACAGAAGTAACATGTCTGAAGGGCTGGGATAATGGTGGAGTGTCGTGGGTCCAGTAATAGGTTGCTAAACACCAGACGACCTTGCTTTTCTTTTACTGATTTTGCTCTGTGTTTCAAACAAAGCTTAGATTGAGGGTTGAGTGTTTAATGTGTAATGTTCTACACCGTTTTATTTGAAGCTTAAAGCAACAGTTTGACATTTTGGGAAATTCACTTATTTGCTTTCTTGCTCAGAGCTAGATGAGAAGATTGATACCTCTCTTGACATGTCTGTCCGATAAATATAAAGTTACAGCCAGCAGCTGGTTAGCTTAGCTTAGCTACAGACAGGAGGAAAAAAGGTTACAAACCCACCTACCAGCACCTTAAGCTTACAAAAAAAAAAAGCTTTCCTTTCTTTATGCTAAGCTATATCTGCTAGCTCTAGTATTTTATTTGTTTGTGAGGGACAATGCAAATACAATTGTGCAGATAAAGAACTCTTTAAATATGAAACAGACACAATTAAATAGGAAATTAGAGGGGATACAGATGTCAGAGTTGTATCCATCCTCCCCAAGAAGGCCAATAAGCCGTTTTCCCAAAATGTCAAACGAATTCCTTCAACAGTAACCTGTAAACTTCACCACTAGCTGGAGACATTACTCCTCTCCATTTATGAGATGCTTATTGGACTGACAGAGAGTGATCGTGGTTAAATGGAGGAGAGGAGATGGGGATGAGTTAAGCACAGTTTGAGGATGAAGGGGGTGAGATATCAAGGGGATCGGGGGCTGCTGCTGCCGGCGGGGCCACGGGCGGCTAGTGGTCTCATTGCTAATTATCTTTATTGTGCTTCCTTGGCAGTTTTTCTGTGCAGGGCCTGTCGCTGGCTCTTGTGTGGGAAGCTCTCCAGAGCTCTCCTTAGTGGCCCCTGGCTAATAACTGCTGAAGGAATCACTCCGAGGTCACAAGCCTTTCTCTGTTGTGTTTTAATCCCTATGGGGTTCGTTGCAAAGCCAGGAATAGGTGAACACACAAGGACCAATTCTTCCACTACATGCTTGACAACAGTATCTTTTGGTAGTTTGTTGAGGCTCAAAAGAGATGGACATTCAAAATGTACACAAGATTTGCCTTAGGCCTGCAGAGGTCCTGCCTGAAAGCAAAGGGAGCAACAGTCAGGGCCTAAAGGTGATCCTCTGCCCCACCTGCTTCACACGCCAAGCCTCCTCTCGGATTCTCACCCTCACTGTGGGGGGGCTTATAGACAAGCTCTCTGCCTTGAAAAGTGGAGTGACCACTGGGCAAAAACAAAAAAGGCTCTGACAGCACTTTTGCTGCAGGGGGCTATTGCACTATGTTGTTTTTCTTTGCCATCCATGACAAGCATCGTGTTGAATTACCTTTCATTCAAATGTTCACATGCACGCTCTTTGTCCAGTACTCACAGTGGACAAGTCTGGGAGATTTCTGATGATTTATGTTTCTGTGAGATATCACAACTCTCTTTTAACCCTGTGGTTGTTGCCAGAGTTTGCATCACCTCAAAAATATTTGGGTGAAATTCAAGAGGGGAAACCTATCAGATGGATGAACATTGGACTGATGTGTTTGCAGAAAACGAGTAAACAACATTAATTTCATATGAATGAATAAGAATAAGTAGGAAGTGGAAATCCTCACAAGGGTTTTGTATGTGATACTCTCATCAAGCTGATAAAAGATTAAGATATTAATCAAAGTTTTGTGGTGATGAATCAAAGTCATTTGACAAGACAAGCTATGACTTTGTTGCATTCATTAAATGTTTGTGAAAGATGCACTTTGTCATTTTAGTTTTCTAGAGACTTTATTCAGGCTGCGTTCAGAACTGTGAAGCGCTGATAGGGGAGCTGTATAGCCGACCAACTCTGTAGAGAAGACCTCTGTACTGTACACTTCTGCAGAATTAACACAAGAGTCAGTTGATCTTTGTCGCTTCAGGGGAAAACAGACACCAGAAGTAAAGCCAGATATAGTTTGAAAGCATGCCTAAGATCATACACTGTCTTTACCATCAAAAAAGTGTCCAGATGGATATTCTTAACAGGTTTAACTTGGATGAATTATTTAAATATTCCCCCAATGCCTCTCTGACTCTGGCAAGTGAATCCACAACACACAAATGGTCATAGCTAAATGTTATCACTCTTCTTAATTTGTACAACTCAGTACAATCTGTCTTCTGGAAGTTCATCCAAATGTTCTATTACTAAATGGACTATTGAGAGTCAAGAGTTCAGAGTTTTGCAAACTATTTTCCTCGCTGAATTGTTACAACAGACCTACATTTTCTCTTGAAATTAAAAGTGCACTCAGCTTAATGGTAGGATGGGACACAGAGAAAATGTCAATCTTTAAAACCTGTTAGAAAAAAAAAAGATTGTTTAAATTTGAATGTGTGTTAAAACAATATCTTAAAACCTTCCTGTTTACACTTAAAGGTGGGGTAGGTAATTTTGGAGAAACCAGCTCGAGTGCGCTAGAATTTGAAAATACACAGCCGGAAAAAATCTGCCCCTTCCTTACAGAGCCCCTCCTCCAACACACACGAACGCGCACATGACCAATGAGGGCACGAGATAAGTTTGTGCACAGATGGAAGGCTGACAGGCAGGTAGGCCATCCAGTTATTTTTTTATGGATTTTTTGTCAAAGCACTTAAGATATTCATTGCTATCGGGATGTTAAGAGCATTCCATGGAACATAACAAAAAGTGTATCTCGAGCTGGTTTCTCAAACTTACCTACCCCACCTTTAAAGATACATTTATATGAATGAACGTGTCTGTAATTCACTGATAAGGTTCATATCTCATTCCCTTTATCACTCAACTTCACACAGTATAAAGCGCATACTACGAATCTGGGCTTGAACTATTACATCATTAATATTTTCATGTGCTCGTTGGCAAATTCAATTTGAAGCAGAGAGCTTTGCAAAATGGTGGAGAAACAGTGAAGAATTGGTCTCAGAAATGAGCAACACGGCCGCCTGCTGTGAACTGTCAAATCGTCCAGATTGCTTGACTTTTTGAAGATCTTGCCACATGTGGTCCGCTTTTTGAGGCCAATAAAGAGGGAGCTCTGCTAATGCTCGGTGGGGCACCCACTTTGATACCAAACCCATGGCTTACTGTGACAACACATCACAGGGGGTCTCTGTGAAGATAATCTCTAATAAGGGATGAAACGCTGCTGCTGATGAAGCGGCTGAATGCCAGGTTGATCTTTGCAGAACTGCTTTAAGATTGACTGTTAATGACGATGTTTTAAGATGGTTGGAGCAGAAGCCTTAATGATGGACCTCCACCCTTGGATCTGCTTCTGTTCGCTGAGATATTCTGCTATTATTTATTTATCTATGTTTTACGATTTATGTTTAATGAAACTCTTAATTTATTTATTTATGAGAAACACAATATGACCTAATGTCTTTATTAATGAGAAGCTGTTTCATATATCAAAATAATGAGCCATTATAATTAGATAAAAAGCAATGATGAAAAACAAGTGACGCAGTAGCTTGTTTAATTACTTTTTACAAGAAAGTGACTGGCTGCTTGTTTCTTTAGACCAAAGCAAAGGCCAATTACAGATTTTATGTAAGACAATGTTTAATAAGTAAAGTGTTTTTCCTTATGGTTCTTTGATATAAGTGTAGCCTATAATTTCAATGTAAGAAGAAAGTTTTGTATACAAATATAAATATTAGTTCTGTTCAGTTTTTTTTTATTTAGAAAGGCTTTGTTAGAAAAAAAAGTTTCATAACATCAAAAGAAAATCAGTTTTGAGTAAAACAGACGTTGGAAATACATTTAGAAAACAGCTTGAATTAAATAAAAAGAACTCAATAAATGTGTATGAATGTTATGGTTATATATTATATATTTTGTCAGTGTTTGTTTATCTGTTTATTTGATACTAAACACGTTGAGTCTTCAGACCATGTATAGAAGCAATAAAAAGTATGCTTGCCATTACTTTTTTTCATTTCAGTAAAAAAACTGTCCACAAAAAAAGGAAGCTTTTATTTTGGTGAATACATTACGATATTACGTTGCTTACGCAAAGCTCTTACGTCAAACAACTAGTTCTCATTTTGAGCACGACGCTTGAGGACGCCGTCGTGATTAGCAACACGTCCATCAACAGCAAACATTTAAAAATGAAAATAAATGGACTCATACACTTCTACAAAACAAGAGAGAAGTTCTGTGTGACATTAAAGTGGAGTGGAGGCAACAACTGACACGGAGTTTGCGTTATATCTGCTGGACAGGTAAGCTACCTGTGATGAAACATAACACTAATGTTTGAAATAAGCTAGCTTCCTCACTGATGTATAATTAAGCTAATGCTGGGGAAGTAGGCTAACTATTAACTGAGCTAAGTTGAAACTACACTTGATAACTTGTGTTTATAAAACCTAAGTTTCAAAAAGTGTACTAGCCTTAACACTGCTTTCATATTGCCTCATCACCTGTCACTTAGGTTACACAGAGGAAGCTAACTTAATGTTTTATCCCAATAGTGCTGTTGCACCACCTCACTTTTAATTGTCATGTAGTAGTATGTCCTTTTTTATCTCTATAGTTAACGGTTGACATGTAAAAGGTTAGAAAGACATTATTTTACCTACAGCTTCCTTAAAATATTTTAGGATTTCTAAAAAAGATTTGGGGCCATACAATTATTTGGTACCACTTTACAATAAGACTACCCTTATAAAGGGTTTACGAATAGTTTGTAATTCATTTATTAATTAGGTTGTGAACACTTTATAAATCATTAATAAGCTTTTATAAGACATGAGATAAACAGGGCAACTGTGACCGGTTGCTTGCCAAATAGTGAGCCCACATTTATCTGTACTGCTAAGTCTTATATTGGCTACTTAGCTTACTTTGTGTTCTTCATCAGCCAGCATCCTTGGTATCTGTTGTTCACTGAGTTGATTCTCCCCCATCCATCTTGATGTTTCTTGGCATCTCTTATGACCATTTATTAATGAGTTACTACCATTTCCAACTGCCAAAAGGGAGCCTTATTGTAAAGTGTGAAACAAATCACCATTTATTAATGAGTTACTACCATTTATAAACTGAAAGGGTGCATTGTTTTTAAGTTTAATACACATGTCCATTTATGAATGAGTTATAACATTCACGTTTACCTAATACACATTTTTCACATGAAATGCAAAGTAAGATGCAACAGAACCAAGCACAACATTGTATTCACACATGAAGAAAATCAGGACTCAAAGTAATGACTGTTTAGTATGACTGATACACATATTTAAACATAAAAGCTTTTCTCAGATATAAATGAAAGACTTGGTAAGACATAATGGTACTCAGACTGGAAAGGCATTGTGTATATCCTTGAACAAGCGTCCAAGCAGTCCATCAGGGTGAGCAGAGCTAAGCCAAGATGACCATTCAAGAACCTTGAGGTGTTCTTCCAACAAACTCTACGGTTTCCTCTCAGTCTACGGACATGTCCTTTGACGGTCGACCAAGCTCTTTCTATATGTTGGGTATGACTGCCAGTCTGGGGGTTCACCAACCTGCTGTGGTTTATGGTGTAGTGGTTGTACCCCATGTTACTCAGCACTCTCCTGTATGCCCTCCACTCATCACTCATAATGCTACTTCCTGACTTAACATGCCGTCTAATCAGAGGGACAAGGTGCATCTTGATCGTTTCTCCACTAGTTTCAACACTAGTCTCCGCCTTTTGTATTTAACTCCCATCATTCCGAAGACCCATTTCTTCCTTCTCCAGGTATGTCCAAAGCGTCCACGTGCATACTAACGAAAAATAAATCATAACATCATCTTAGTTAACAACAAAATGCACACAAATTACAGTAAAAATGGTTGCACATCATGTTTCAAAATGCCATACTTGTTTATTAGGTGCATTGTATAACATGATGTAAGGATAATTATACAGTAATGGTCCATATTGATTTAAAAAGAGAAAAATAAAGTATTCTCTTGTATAAGAAAGCCCAGTATATAACTGCCGAACATAGGAACTGGGTACAGTACCTTCTCCCAGACACAAATACTCAAATAAAATAGTTTATTGGGATTACCAATGCTGATAAAGCTTACTATTTATTTGATACCAATTTTGTAATACAAGAACAAGGTTTGGGTTCGTTCTTCAGATATGACTGTGACGTTAACGTGTAAGCTCAATAATGAACTCCAGCTCAACCAACCATATTGTAATATCTAAGTAATCATCTTGAAATATGACATTATTATTTGTAATAGACATACATCTTATTGTGAGGTTAATTTCTCATACACTACGCTGCTCTTCGACACTACTTTGACGTTAGCTTGTCTACATAATCGAGCGTAGCAAATTTAAATTAACCTTAGCAATGCATAAAGTTACCTACCTAATAAAATATCTCTCTAACTTACAAGGATGACCTTATTTTACCAACCTCAAACAGAAGCCGTTTATTCTACAGTATTATCCCACTTAACACTTCTCTATTACGTTTTAACTTGGAGGCTACGATTAGCATCGTTAGCACAGATGTAGCTACCACTTGCTTACATGCTAACCCAAGCCTTAACATTCATTAACGTTAGCTGACTCAAAACATAATCAACACATAAATAAAGTACTCGAATTTCACTTACCTGCAAAACCGCATTCATGCACCGTCTGTTTTAACCGCAGAGCGAGTCACAATAGTACGATATAAGCATGAAGAATAGTCCACAAGGCACCAGCACAACAAACACGGCCGAGTTCAAGTTATGTTCCCCCGGATGAGCTGAGCAGGCAGAGTCCCTGTAGCATCACGGAGCTGCTAGCAGAGAGACAGGAAGCTAACAACAGCAGTCACTGGACAGAGCTGTCACTCAATGTGACCACGCCCTAATGTATGCATAACTTTAAGGCTTAACATAACTTAAACAAATTATAAATAGTAGTAACTCATTAATAAATGGTGATTTGTTTAACACTTTACAAGGCTCCCTTTTGGCAGTTATAAATGTTCGTTACTCGTAAATAAATGGTCATAAAGAGATGCCAAGAAACATCAGGATGGATGGGGGGGAATCAACTCGGTGAACAACAGATACCAAGGATGCTGGCTGATGAAGAAGACGAAGTAAGCTAGGTAGCCAATATAAGGCTTAGTCATCTTGCCAAATAGTGAGCCTGTGTTGATGTATGAACTGGTTTATAAATGGTTCTTAATGATTAATAAAGTGTTTACAACCTAATTCATAACCTAATTATAAACCCTTTATGAATCCTTTATAAGGGTAGTCTTATTGTAAAGTGGCACCAATTATTTCTACTACTAACAGGTGTCTATTTATTTGGTACACCTAGCCAAAATTAATGCAATCTATTACAACAGTTCATCATATCTTTATGAATGTTATAATGTCCAGTTTCTGTTGAAACTATTTTAGAGAGATGTTAATTCAACTATGTGGTAATTGTGGTGTTGTTGAATTGTATAATATCAGACTGACAGGTGTGTCTTGTATCTTGTCCACCCTCAATGAGGATATGCTTGATGTCAGTAAGACCTCTGAATATTGAAGTATAGTTGTACTCGCAAGTCAAATCTGCTGGGTTATGATAGTATTGAAACAAAATAAAATGGTAAGAACAGGTTAGAAAACTCTGCAAAATGTATTTCCCCCCTTTTTACCCGTAGTTCTTGCCTTTCTTAGTTTGAAACAATGATCAGGCCTCACACAATTCTTCAAGTTAAACAGGGTACTCTGCTCACAGTCTGTAGACAAACATAACTTCACACAAGGTAAAAAGAGTTAATTGGGCTGCTGATTTTGAAACTCTTTATCACAGGTGTTCACTAACGATCGGACCACCTGCTGAGCAAAAAATAAGTCTCTGTGATTTAGACTTTTCTTTTCATTGCAGGAAAAGCACAGGTGAAAATAATAACCCAAACAATGGCTGCATTCCATTTAGGTGAGATTGTTCCAGGGTCCTGGCATTGTGCATGCTGGTTCACTGTAACTGTTTACTGGGACACCTGAATGGAGCAGAGCCATTGTCAATGTTATGAGTTGCACCTGTGCTGTGCGTCAAACTATACAAGAGATTATATTTGGAATAATTTCGGCCTGTTTGATTCATATTTATGTAAGCTTATAGCCTTAAATGTTTCTTAGAAAGTAAAACGCTAAATATTCTCCAATTTGAATGACTACAATACGCTGGCAGTTCATCAACACTGTATCGAGATTTGTTTTAAGCTTAAAGTATAGCATCAAATACAAAAGGGAAAGTCTCTTTGGCATGACAACTTCCTTAATGTGCTCAAACGATGAGCAAATGGACAATAAACGCTGCTGATGATCTCGCTGTCAGACCCTGCCATTTCATATGTAACAGATCAAATTATGAGAGACCTTGCAGTGCATCGCGGGGCTCAGCATGGGATTAGGGGGCAACAATCTCAAGGCTGTGCTTCTCAGATAACCGCACCTAAAGCAACCTTTTCTCAAACACACAATTACCCGTCCGCTTCCTCCCCCCAATCCCCTTCACCACCTCCCTTTTGAATTTCATCAGGGGCTTAATTAGTATACAAATAAAACTTCCCTTATCTCCCTCTCGCCCTAATTGGCCTGTCTTTAGTTATGCCTGGTGAGTGTGTGAGAGAGCTGGGGCCCCTGTAATTAGGGTGACCGTGTTCACCTTTCCTCTCAGACGCACGGGTGCTCAGGCGGCCCGTGGGGAAGATGGGGCTCATCGTGCTGTATGCTCACATGGACGAGTGTTTGTGTGTTTGAGTGAGTGTTTAGGGTACGTGCGTTCTGTATGGGGGTGTTGAGGAGGAGGTGGGGTGGTTGCGCTCAGGATTATTGCTCTGCAATCATTCTTGGACCGTCCCAACGGTGTTCTCATGAGCCAGGAGGGCTTTGGGTGCTGCTGGTTCCCACTGAATGGAAGGGGCATCTTACTTTTTTCATTCCCTCTCTTCTCACTGTTCCTCCCCCCCTCCACAACTAAAGTGTTTATCGATTATCTCATCCCGCTCTTCTACAACTTAATATTGGGTGACAGTGCACCGTAATTAGAGTTCAGCTCTGAGGTGGGGGTGCGGGGTTGCGGGGGGCAATTAGAACCCTTTGTTATTAAACTTGATTCATCTTCCTCCTGCCCTGCTCCGCTCTCCGCTGCTCTCCGATGCTTGCCAAGGGTATCGGGCCATCCAGCCTCCTGAAATTGGCTAACCCGCAAATTATCATGTTTGCT